GTCTGACCCTCCAACTCTGAGCAGCTGGAGGGGGCAGGGCATGTCCACAGAGGAAGGTGGGACAGCCCTACATGGATGTTGCAGGCTCCTTTCCTGGCAGGTGCCACATGATACTCGTAACCCACTCCCTAGAGATGCTGACCCTCAAGACTTGGGTCCTGGGCCAGCCAGCACAGAGCCGCCTGGACCTCCTCAATGATGGCCCCCCTAACTCCAGCCCCCCAGTCCCCTGTACCCCCAAATTCCAGCCCCACACCCCCAAACTCCAATTACCCATCCCTCATGCCCCCCAAACTCCAGCCCCCCAGTTTCCCATGCCCCCCAAACTCCAACCCCCTGGTCTCCCACAATCCCCAAACTCCAATCCCCCCGTCCCCCATGTCTCCCAAACTTCAGCCTCCTGGTCCCCCATGCCCCCTTTTCGCTCTTGCATGGACTTGGTTCAGGTCCCCAGTGCACATGTGTGTGATTTGCCAGGTGTTGACATCGGCCTGCCTACCAGGGGGTAAACAGGGCTATGTCTTGATGAAGAAGCTGCTAGATAAACTCTGTCCTCCCTTCCTGGGTACAAGAGTCCATATGTCAGCTGGGAACATGGCCCCCAGGATGAAGACATTTCCTAGCCTCTCTTGGAGCTAGAAGTACCCAAGTGATTCAGTTTTGGCCAAGAGAGATGTAAGCAGATATGGCATATGGAATATCCAGGAAGTATCCTTAGAAGGGTGAGGTTGGGGTTGTGGAGAGTAAATACACCTGAATGTCTTTCTACTGTTTGGTTCTCCTCCCTGATGGCTCGAAAACAGACATGATGGCTGGATCTTAAGCAGTCACAATGTGCCATGAGGCAGAAGGCCTATTTAGGGATTGGCGAGGCAACTAGGTTAAGGGATCTGGGGCACCAATGATTGTGAGGCACCTTCTAAAGCCCTCCTGACTATCTGGACGTGAATATATAACATAAAAGTAAACATTGATTTTGTTTAAGCCACTGTTATTTGGAGTTTTCTGCCATTAGCAACCAAATCAAATTGGATGATATCCCCAGAGCCTAGCATGTTGCCTGACATTGAAGTAAAGATTTGTTGAATGAGTAAATGATGGAAGACAGGCTTTGAAGATGAGATGAGAGTTGACAAGAAAGGAGAGGACACCGTGAGGCAGCAAGCCTTACAGGTGGGTGGGTGTGGATCCTGGACATGCCATGCCCCTTGGGCCCGGAGACTCTGCTCTCCCCATTGCACCTGCTGTCCTCTGCCTCGAGGATGGAGGGTGAGCAGGCTCTGCTGTGTCCAGGAAGGGTGGCAAACTCACCCTTCACTGGGTGATGCCATTAGCACAGACAACACTCAAATACTCTTTTCAACGGTTTTCTATTCTTCGATTTTGCCCCTTCCCTCCTTCCTTGCTTCCTTCTTCCTTCCTCCCTCCTCCCTCCCTCCCTCCCTCCCTTCCTTCCTTCCTTCCTTCCTTCCCTCCTTTTTTTTTTTGCCACTCCTGCTTGGCATTAAATATCTTGGGAGGCTGTTATGTGTATCTTGCTGGAGTTGATTTTTCTAAGAGCCTGGTCTGTGATGGCACAGATTGCATCTTCAATGGTTGGGGGAGAGAGGGGCTTGCCTTGGTCAGACCCCTGCCATGTGCTGGGGCTGTGCCAGACCCTTTCCAGAGATTCCCACTCGCCCCCCTTGCGACACTGCCCCCTGTATGGATGATGAGGAGATTGTACCCCACCTGCCCCCACACCCCACGCTTTTGGTTTGTCTAGACCTTTACCAATCTTGCTCTTAGGTGGGCTCTTGAGTGCTCTATGACCTTGGTTGGCTCCCACATCGTTACTTTGAGGAACAAGCTCAGAGAAGGTGTGTTACCTGCTCTATATCACACAGCCAAACAGGGATAGGTTTTGCGTTAGGACCAGAGATTTTTCTCACCCCCCCCCCTTTTCTTATTAAGACATGGGTAGAAGACTAGGTTACAAGGGATCACGTGAGAAACAAGCACCTCTGAGTGTAGCTCATGCGTGTGTTCACTCACTCGCCATGTGCCCCTGGGGGCTGTACCTGTGCTGGGGACTCGCTGAGTGGGAAATACAAACACACACTCCTGGGGCCTGCCCTCAAGGAACCCTCAAGGAACCTGTGGTTCCCTGACCTAAGGGAATCACGGTCCCGTCCCGATGTGCACAGGGCCTGAGTCGGCTGGCAGTGCCCAACTGAACCTGACCAAACAGCCTCTTGGGGGAGCAGGGTCTCGTTCCCCGTGGTGATGAGTCAGGGGGTATGCTGTTCAGGCACATGACGCAGCTGCTCACATCCTCAGCTTGGGCCCCTGTCCCTTGGTGGGAAAGTGGCTGCTGTCCTTGGGACACCGTGCTCACATTCCAGGCTGGCATGACGGGACAGATGGACAGTAAGTAAGGGGACCAGCCAGCCACATCCATCCCCCTGAGGGGCCTGGATACTCCTGTGGTCACCTCTGGCCAGACCGTGTCAGGGCCAGCCCTAGCTGCCCATGAGGTTGGGTACATTGCTGCTGTGAACAAAACTGGAGTTCTGTTGACAAGGGACAAATGAGGCCTGGGTGACAGTGACATCAGATGTTCAGCGGGATTCAATGCATAAGTCAATGAATGAGCTGCTGTGGGCCTTGTTGGGAGTAGAATGTGCGCTGTGGAGAAGAGTAGGAAGTGCAAACTCCTTCTCCTGTCCAAGTAGCAGCTGGGAGGGCGAGGATGGTCTTCTTAAAAAAGTGACATTGGAACCGGGCTTCAGAGGACAGAAAGGAAGGGTGGCAGGGCCGGGAAACTCACTGAGGATTCATAGGCTGACACTGATCTGGAAGTTCAGCCTAACCATGCTGAAGTCCTTGCTGCTTTTGACAGAGTGAGCATTTCAGGGGGAAGTGTTAGCAGGTGCTGCATGGAAATTCTTTCTGGAGCCTTGGAACTACCTCCAATCTTGTTGCCCCCACCCCTGCTGGGGCCTGAATGGTAGATCCAAATTAGGGGGTTGCGGACGCCCAATTGACAAGCTGAGGATAAGCCAATTCCTGCCCCCTCAGATAAGAGAGGCCAACTTGCAGGGGCCAATTCCAGTTACTGGCCTTGTTGGCCTTGGTGATCAGCCCAGGGGTGGGACCAGAGCTCTTCCCTGGGAGTCCCTTGTTTGGAGGGAGGACAGAGCCCAGAGCTGCTGAGGTCATGGGATGACCCTACCCAGGGAGCAGCAGATATAAGACAGCAGCAGGGAGCCCTGAGCCCAGGCCTAGGCTCTGCAGAGGCTGGCAGCTGCATCTCTCTTCCCCTTGCCTGGGAAGTGAGAGTGGGCTCCTGCCTCTTCCACAGGGAGGTTCTCCTTCCCTGCTTCCCTGGGAGGTGCTAGGTGGGCTCGCTCCAGATTTGGGAGTAACCAACAGGTCCCGGCCCCTCCTGTGGCCAGCCTCTGCCTTTGGTAGACCATTTCCTCCTGCAGCCCCCAAGCACCATGTACACACCCCATCATATAGAGGTGGTCTGTCCTGGAGGAAGAGTGAGAAGCACGTCCACATCCTGGCTTGGCTGTGAGATGGGCACATGCCACTGCTCCCCAGGGCCTAGGGTGAGGCTCAAGCACAGCAGGGCAAGGAGCCAAGGCCAGCCCCAGCACAGGCTGACTTGAGCCATGAATGCTGGCCTGCTTGCATCCCCTCTTTCCTCCTGTCGCTGGACATGTTTATCACACATTACTGTTCCTGTGCTGGCCCTGGGCACACACTCATGCCAGCAAACACTCTCTTGCATGCTCCCACCCATTGCACACATATACAAGTACACTCAAACCTGGTGTCATGCACACCCCCTCATGCTCCCACCAATCTGCACCATGTGCATGCTCACACAGTGCCACACAGCATCCAGAAGCACACCAGTGTTTATGCACACAGCACTTATTCATGTATTCACACGTGTGCCTGCACACAGGCATGTAAACACAATATTGTGCTGCAAAGAACCCCAATCCCACTCCTCCATGGAAGCGCGTGGGGTGACCATCACATTTATATCCCTCCAGACACTGATCATTGGATGGAGGAGGGTGGAGGAGGGTGGAGGAGGAGCCTAGGGTTGCCCGCAGTCCTGAATACAGTCTTGGGATGAGAGCAGCAGGGACAACCTACAGTTGTTAGTGTGTGGGAGTGGGCACACCATGCTTGCTCTCCTGCCTGGATGTGGCTCTTGGTTCATCTGTGGGAAACAGGCTCAGAGGGTGGCCCAGGGCACACATCCACTTGCCCCAGGCTCCTCCTTGGTCTAGTCTCCAGTGGGTCACTGGGAGGGCGAGTGTCGGGAGTCCCTCTGGGAGCTCAGTGCCCGCAGGCTCAGCAGATAGAGGGATGCCCCAGAGAACCCAGGTGGGTCTCCCCAAGGAGAAGTCGCCACTCTGCACTCCGGCTGCTCCTAGGATGGGGCTGTGACTTCAGGGAAAAGGTCCTTCAACCGTCTTGAGCCTCAGTTTCCTCGTGAGATGGGAATGCCTCGAGTCCCTGTGGGGCCTTCCAGCTCCAGCCCGAGCCAGGCTGCACTGAGGTGACAACCCCACTTGGCATCACTGATGGGCCTGAGGCCATGGTCTCAGCGCTGATGCCCATCCCAGCAGCCAGGACAAGTCTGTGCCTGCGCCCTCCTGGCTCGGGAGAGACCGCGGAGGCCCTAACTTGAGGCCACATTCGAGGGCCGGGGACTGCGTTCGGGGTGACTGCGGACCCACTCTTGAGCGCCTCCGAGCCGGGCATTCGCGGGCATTTGCTGGCATTTAGCACCAAGCGTCCACCTTCCCTTAGCTGTCAACCCAGTTCTGCAGACTCCAAGACCTAGGCCGCGCGCCCGCCCCAAAAGCCTCTTGGCCCAGCCGGCCGCCGTCCGCGCCGCTTCCGCCCGCGCTGGGCTCTCTGGGGCGGGTAGTCCCCGGCGCGCCCGAGGCCCGGCGGCCATTGGCTGGCGCGCGGCGCCGGGGCGGGGGCGACCGGAGGGGCAGTCACGTGATGTTTGGGTGCCCGTCGCCGCCCCCAGAGCCGCCCCTCCCGCCGTGAGCGTACAGAGCGCGACCGCGAGCCACCCAGGCCCAGGTGAGGAGGCGGCGACGGGGTCGGGGCCAGGCGGGGGCGGCGCGGGGGGAGGCGGCTGAGCTGGTGGGGGGCGCGCAGCCAGAGGCCGGGAGGGGGGCGCGGGCGCAGCGCGGCAGGAGGGGCTCGCGGGAGGCCCGGCGGGGGGCGGGGCCTTGCCGGGGGGAGGGGCGGGGGCGGGGCTTTGCCGGGGGCGGGCCCGAGGGGCGACCTGGGCTCGGTGCCTCAGCCCCCGGAGTGCGCCTCGTTTGGGGGACCGCCCCGCGGGCTCATGTGCCCGTCGGCCTCGTGGCGGGTCCTTGGAGCGCTCTGCTGGTCCCGGGTCAGGGGGCGCTGGCCTTCGCGCTGGTTGCCCGCGCCTAGAGGACAGCACTGCCCTGGGGACCGCCCCAGCGCCCACTTGTTGGGTGCCAGGGTTGGTTCTCCGCCACTCAGCGAGCGGAACCCGCCCTCCAACCTGAGCTGGAGACTCTGACCCTGTGGGCTTTCCCCTGCTTGCCTTTCTGCCCCTTCTCCAAGTTGCAAAAAGATGCCTCCTGTGTACCGGGGGCTAGGGACATCCCCTTAGAAGCTTCCCAAGGACCCTGATCTGTGCCAATACCGTGGAAACTCTCTAGGGGCCTTCTCTTGTTTGTAGACTGACGTCTTACTCCTCCCCGGTCTTGGGAGCTCTATCTGCTATGTCCAGTATGGTAGCCACTAGCCAGTGTGGCTATTTAAATTGACCTTAAGTGAAGGATTCGGGTCCTCAGTCCAGCAGCGACATTTCTAACGCTCAGTACCCATACGTGGCTGGTGGCTGCTGTGTTGGACAGCTCAGATACTGAACATTGTGGTCACCAAGAAAGTTCTATGGGCCAGGGTGCTTGGTGCTCCTTTGTCCCCTCTCCCTGCCAGGTGCCATTCCAGCCACACTTGGCTCCATTTCCTTTATCACCTGTATTCTTGCCTACTCTTCTCTTTTTGTTTCTGGCCTGGGTGGCAGCTCATCCTCCTCTGGCAAGTCTAAGCTCACCTGTCAGAGGCTCACCCTCCTAGCCACTCTCTTCCAGTATTTCCTGTCTCCTCTTCTTCCCAGCACTTCATGTTTTGTCATTGCCACTCATCTGCTTGTTTTCTGTTTTATCTTTAGTGTCTGTGAGGCAGGGATTGGGCTTGTTGCTTGATATACCCCCAATGTGGACACAGCATTAAATTGAAAGATACAGATGAAGTTTGCTAGCAATGGAGTGCTTCAGCCGATTAAAATGGTACTTTCATGTGGTTCAACCTTATACATCGTAGATCCTCAGTAGAAACCTGGTGCAGAACGTGCCTGGATACAGGGCAGCGTGGGATCTGGAGTGAAGTTCTTTGTAGCTGGCCATGGGAGGCTGGCAAATCCAAGAAGGCTTCATGGAGAAGGTTGAGTTTTAGCTGGGTCACCTCCTTCCCTCCCTTTCCTCTTCTGCTGGCCTGGCTCCATGAACATCCACAGCCTGTGGCTGCCCTGACTTTGTCCAGGCAGCCTTCCCTGGGTGTACCTCTGTGTCTGGCCCTCTAGACACAGACACTTGGTCTGGGGCTTACAGGCTCTTGAGCAGCCAGGTGTCCTTAAGTCCCTTCCATAGTTCCCTGCTGCCTGCATGGTGAAAGCTGGGATCTAGCTCCTGCCTATGGTTTCAGCCACATCTTCCAGTCCTTGTTTCATGTACGCCACAGTGCAGACATCCTGTTTCCTGCATGCTCCATGGCTTTCCTCACCAGCACGTGTGTGACCATGCTGAATGTTCTCCTTGGAATGCCCTTGTGCTTCTGTGTTTGACCCCATGCCCATCTGTGAATCCTCACAGCGTAGGCATCACTGTCTTGGTCACCCTTGTGTCTTGAGTGCCCAGCCCACTGTCTAGAGCAGGGTAGGCACCTGGCAGGTTTTGATGAGTGAATAAACTGGATGGATATGGCAGCAAAGAGAACATGATGAAAAGTGAAGGTGTGGAAATTCAAGATGCAGGGAAGCTGGAAGCAGAGGGTAGGGGATTCACCTTCTAGGTTGGGAGAAAGAGACACAGACTTTGACCACGGGTATATCAAGCCATTAGCAGCAAGGTTGAGATGCATGCTGCTGGGTCCTGAAGAAGGGAGGCCTTTCCAGGATGTGGGATTTGAGGTAGGCCAGGTGGCATGGCAAGATCTGGTCAGCCAGAAAGGATGGGGGGTGTTCTTCAAGTGCTGATACTGATGATACTGGCCACACTCACATAGCACTCCCTGGTGCCAGGCTACCAGTAGCCTGTGTTCAGTAACTCATTAACCCTCACAGTAACACCAGCAGGAGGACCTGGGATTATCCGCATTTCCAGATGAAGAGGCTGAGACACAGAATGGTTGGGTGAACTTGCCATGTTCGTAACCGTCAAGTTCTAAGACTCCATTCATTCAGCTGCAGACCTATGTGTTGCTTCTGAGATTTTGAGGCGTTTTATTGCTGTGGATGGTGTTTGGGATGTATGAAGAGTTGGCTAAAGCTGAGGCTTTCTTTTTTAATGCACGCGGGCATGTCTGTGGCTATTGGGTGGATTTGATTGTGTTATTTGCTACAAGCAGATTTTGACATGTGTGGCTCAGTATAACCATCATTCATTATGGTCTTTAAAATCCGATTTCTTTTTGCTTGAGGTCAGGAGTTTGAGACCAGCCTGAGCAAGAGTGAGACCCCTGTCTCTACTAAAAAAAAAAAAAAATCTGATTTTGTGCTCTGTCAATGATAACATTAGACTTGTTAGCACTCTGAAGGCAGAACTCCCCTCAGGTTCATCTGCTTTCTGCATCATGCTCAGCCCTGCCCTGCGCTCAGACGTTTGCTGGGTCTGCGTGGAGGAGTGGGTACCTGAAGGACTAATGGGGAGAAAGTTGAGCAGCACAGTTGAAGACCCATGGCCTGTGCTGTCTGCTCTGGGGATGGTGCCTTCCTTTGTTAAGTGTTAATCCTTATATTTGGCTTTGAGCTCCATATTGGAGCATCCTTATCTCATCCCCCTTGGGTACATTGAGGCAGCAGGGGAGGATTATCACTTCCAGTTCTGAGGTGAGCAGTGTGAGGCCCTGACCCACGGTGCCCATGGCAGACTGTATAGTCACTTCACGCCTTCCCATCTGCTGCCCCAGCCATGGGGAGCTAGCTCAGCACGTCCGGTTGTGGCCCAGGGCCTGACCCAGGGGGGTCTGGTGGATGTTTGTTGAGGAAGTGAGGGATCGTGACAGAGCTGACCCTGACCTTGGCCATTCTTTACCGTGCTTTCTGTTAGCCCTGCACTGTGGCACCAGTGGAACCTCTGTAGGGAGAGTCATCTTGGCTCCATCCTGTGGCACAGAAGGGCACCAACAAGGACAAGACAGGTACCCTGAACATTTTCCAAAGATGAACCATGGACAGAGCGTCTTTCCCTGTGGAGCTGTGCTGGGTGGTGGCTCCTGGCGAGGCCTTCTCCAGGGTGCCCTGTCTGCCATCCAGGGCTGTCCTCAAACCCATTGCAGCCATTCTGCCAGCCTTATCCCAGCTACAGGATTTGCCTATCAGCTTGAGCTTTGCTGAGTCTAGGACAGGGGTGAAGGTGACTCCATAAACCCAGGCAACACTGGATGAAGCCCTTCCTCCCTCTTTGGTGCACCCCAGGCTTGGTGGGCCCTGTTAGGACTTGAATCAGTTTGGTGGCTGCTGCAGGTGTGGGATGCCTGTTAGGAGACAGGGCCAGCAGGGCTGCTGTCTGAGATGTGGAGCATTCTGTGAGGATATGCTAAGGCCTGGCCTTGCACAAGGCTCAGGACTCAGCGGTGAGTAGGATGGGGCTGCTCTGCAGGCTTTCCTGACCTTGCTTGGGACGCTGCTATGCACCTTACACAGTGGGATCATAACAAGTGTCCGTGAGGGGGCGGAGAGAAGGGCACTAAGCCCAGGGTGTATGTGGCTGTGGGCAGGGCTGGGGTCCAAGTAGATATCTGGAAAAGGATCCTGGATGCTGGTGAGGCCTGAGCCGCATCTTCAGAACCCAGTGGGCCTTAGCAGGGGAGGGCAGGAAGAACGGCTGCTCCAGTCAGCGGGAGACCCTGGGAAGGCACAGCGGTGTGGAGGAACTTGGGAGGCAAGGTGAGGCCTGGGCTTTGGCCTGTAGCTGTTGTGCTGAGGTTGGATGGAGAGGACTGGAGACATGGCTGAGTGGAGCGAGGACCTCATCTCACCTAGGGTCTGTGGTTGTACCCCACAGGGACCAGGCCTATTTGGGCCCCTTGGGTGCTGCTGTGGTGGCAGCAGTGCCATCGGCACCCTCCATGGATTGATGGGCTAGCTGGGGCAGCTGGCTCCATCCTGGACCCGTGGCAGCAGCTGCTCATTATCCTGTAACCCTGGGCTCCTGGCTGTGGGAGAGAGCGGCCCTCCCTGATGTGGAAATGAGAGCACGGAGCCAGGCAGTCGCACTGGCCCTGAGAGCCCCCAGCTGGGTTCTCCGGCCCAATAAACCTTTATTGTTTTCTTTCACTGGATCGATGCAAGATTGTCTTGTTTCCTGCCTCTGATTTCCCCTGAGAGAAGGACTGGGCCCCAGCCCTGACTTGCGTAGCATCCAGGTGCGGACACAGCCTGGCAGTATTTCGGCCGTGGGACCCTGGCCCATGTCACTCAGCAGCCCGTCCCTGAGCCTTGCTTTTTCATGCTATTAGTCTGATCCTGCAGCCTCCTGGGAGGTTTGTGGCATTGTGTGCATCTCAGAGACACAGAAGCTAGGGCCTTTTGGGGACATCACCTGAGGGGCCAAGGAAGAGTTCCCAAGGTGTGAAAAGGGAGGTGTGGAAGGTGCAGGGGGGTGACAGAGTGCAACCCCCAGGGCAGATAGAGCTGACCCTCTTCTTTGAGACCCTTGGGCTGCCTTGTATTGCCTCATGCTCTGGACTTGCTTTTAGGTGTCAGCCCGTCATCACTGTCTGTGGGTCATCATTGTAATAATTACCACCATCTGTTGGCCATT